TCTTACAATCAAATGTTACATGATTTTTGTCAAATAAATAAATACAATCTGTCTTGGCTTAAAGTACTTTGAGGCTTTTTCAATAATGCTCCTCTCATGCGACTGATCTCTCTTGCCCAATTTAATGCAACTTTGGGAGTAGGTATCCAAATTCAGCCAGAACACTTGGAGGAGTGTGTGTTCAGACTATTTCCAACACACCTTTCACCTAATCTAACACATTTGTGTGCACATATGCGCGCACACAGTAGCTGCTATTAGAATCATGGACTTTAAGAGGTTCTTTTGATTCAGAAGACAGCATGGGAAGTGTAAAAGACTCCCACCTTCACCATCACTATTTTGGTCATACTTGGATCCCTCCTTGCCAGCATGAAACTAACAACAAATACAAAGAAAGATCCAGTCATTAATAGCCAGCATTACATGTAGTATGGCCTGAATCATAATATCAACACATAGGTTTTTAATCCATTCTATCTTTTATTATCCTACCAAGCCTGTACATCCTTCTAAGAGGAAACTGCCTCTTATCAACATGATGATAGGACAAAATGATAATTGGATAAAAGCTGTACATCTCAGAAATGCTATAGCACATCACTTTTGTCTCTCATTATTCTACTATACACTGGTTGACCCACAGTTGAATACAGTATGTGAACTGTCTCAATTTAGAAGGTTCCGTGCCCGAGAGTTAAACTAAATGTTACATAGAATTCCATGATTTTGTCTTTTAGCCAAAGCAAATTTGACTTGGCTGTGTCTGAGTGAAAGAAGAGTCCATGGACAGAGTTTACACAGATTCTCTCCACGTACCTTCCCTTCATTCAGAAACAGCCTTCTCCAGGCTGCTTTGATTAAGCACGCATACATATACATATGGAGGCCAGAATTCTGGGCCTCTGCATAACCTGCCGCAGACACAGTACCTTTCAATGCAAGTAGTGAAACCTCTTGGTGGTATTCCATTAGTAGTGCTCAGTAGAAAATGAGTCAGTGCAGTACTAAACAATCGGAAGCACCTACAATAGTAGATTTCCCTGGGTAGCATCATGTGCAGAATGTTGGAGGATTTCTAACTGGTAAGTGCAGATTCAAATCTCAGCACTGAAGCTCCTCAGGTAGTCCCTTGCCAAGTCACTATCTCTCTGCATAACTAACAGAGGAGCATAGTAAGCTACCTTAAACCATGTCAAACCATTGTTCCGTCTAGCCCAGTTCCAGCAGGTGTCTCTCCCATCCCTACTTGAAGATATGGATTGAATCTGGGACCAACTACATGCAAAGCATGTGCTCCTACCACTCAGCTACAGCCCTCTCCTTATAACATCACAGGTCTGTTGTAAGGATAAATATAACAATTCTAAAGTACTTTGTACATTGTTATCGTTCCACTGAAATAAACACAACTAAATCTTACCAAACTGTATGAACATTTGCAAAATTTGAAATGAGTATCAGTAAATGTTAAACCAACAAATGCCCCTGCTTTATTCAACTGAAACTCATGTAATAGATACGCTTCAAGCAAAGCAACAAAAATGTATTTAGCAGACAGGTAGCTTAAATGACTAGCTATATTTAGCTGTTAGTTATATACTATTTTGTTGTTGCTGCTGCTGTTAAGTGAACATTTAGAACAACTCCACTACCACCCCCAACAAAAACCCAAACAAATTAATTTGAGTTTAATCCATTGCAGCCAACAGCGTGATGTGTTGCTAGAACAATGCATATTACTTCTTCAATGTCATTTTCGGGACTTCATTGAGTTAATGGAATTTTCAGATCAAACAATGAAGGCAACATCAGCAATAATTAAAAAAAGGATGCCACATAATAAAAACAAGCTAATGACTGAGGATACTATCCACTGAGATTTTCTCCTGTGGAAAACTGCTCTAGAATGGAACCTGAACATATTCTGTATGATTCACATGTCTTTTCAGTGAAAACGAAGCAAGGGGAAGATATTGTTGAACCATATCCAGATACTGTACTGATACTGAAAGTGAATTGTATCTTTTAAAAGGTGCTTAATTTCCACCATTCTAAATTGCTTGTCCATGTTACAAAGCAGTTCCTTGAAGGAGAATTCATTTATATTTGATCTCCTTAATCAAGCAATAAGCGTAAATGACTACAAAAAAGGAACAATGGTCACAGTCCAATTTACAGTTATGCACACTTCAAAATCCCATTGAAACTGATGGTCTTTAAATGAAGTACACTGTGGTCAGTTTGTTTTGTATATATAATGTTACAAAATAAAGGTAAATATCAGTTGGCATTTGAAATATATGGACAAATATGCATTAATTTGCAAATTAACCTTGTTTTTAATCTGGAGTAATTTGTATTTAAATGGAACACCACTGGAAACTTCAAGTGACAACGTTTATTTGATCTTACTGTTTTATTATTAGCTGTGTGATAAAACAACTGTTTTAATGCCCATATTATACAATGTCTCCGCTCGGCCTTTTAATATGCCAGAGTAGAGAGACAGAGAGAACACGTTCCATTTCATATCCAACCCAACCCAAAATCACTACATACAATCTAATACCATGAAATACTGAAAAAAATAGTATGTGCAAATCTAATACTGCTACATATTTTTTTGAAATGGAAACATTAAAAGTGTTAATTTCAAAAAGCTAAATAACTACAGATTTTTCATTTCTAAAGAGAATGACACACCTGTTTAATGAATGTCTGAAAGTAAAAGAGACAGAAAAAATATGTTTCTTAAGATTGTTACAGATGTTATGTAACATGTAATATATAATATATATCTGCTATAATATACTTACCTCATGCATGCAGATTTTCTTTTGCTAACTTGTTTAAAAATTTGTGCAAAGTTTATCCATCTATATCTGAAATAACTTTAGGCTTAATTTAAATTTTGTGCTAGAATATAGACATTTATATTTAATGAATAGATGGCAAAATGTATAAAAAGAGGTATTCGAACCACTTTTCCATGTCCACCACCTAATTTATCATAAATAAAAACAACAAATGGGCAACAGATGACAGGATGGCTATATTTAACAGGAGTAAAAATATATACACCAGAGTATAAAAATTTTCTCCACACTGAATTTGAGTAAAAGCATAGGAACTATTATTAGGATTACCTTTTGCTTTAGCTGCAGTCCTGAAAGCCTTGCTCAAAATAGCAACCTGTTTTCTTTTTACCTACTTGTGGTAAAACTATAGCCACCTTTAGATTCACATAGCTGCACAGGACTGTGTGTCTATGTTTATTTAAAGATACACGTGAAAAGTCTTTTAAAGATTTCGTGCAATAAATTTTTCCATGGTGATCTTGAATGAATGTGACGATCAAACAGCTATTATATTTTGGATGAAGCTAAAAATGTAATCATATGTCAAAGCACTGTACTTTCAGCACTTCATCTAAGCCTGTCACTAAAATATAAGTCTTCAAGCCTTACACACTGAATAGTTGATTCTAAATACGTATTTTAAAAGTTATGTTTCTCCAAGTTATTATATGAAATTAAATTCTCCATTCTAGATATGCACTAGTCACACCTTTATACCAAGGAATCATTTTTGACATTCCACCCTTTCCGTTACCCTTTCAGTTTCTAACATTTCCACTTG